AGGAATTTGTGTAACTTAGAATGTCAGTGACTTAGAAGAGAGCATGCCTGATGGGCTGGTGCATGAGGAGGGGTGTGGCATCGAATGCTGTTTTTCCTGGATGAAATAGAGCTCAATTGCTTGTCCGTTAAGTTGTCTGTGGCTTAATGCCCCGGGCCAGCCTGAAGAAACTGAAACAGGAAGGCTTCAGGTAGCTTTTGTAGCCCTACATCTCCCTGATGGTCATCATAGTCTGCCCCATGGGGTCAAAGATCTGTAAGCCTCTTTGTCTTGTGCCTTTTGCCACCTTGAGGTACATCAGCTCCAAAGAAGAGACTTTCTCAGACATTGCTCTGTATTGTTGCCTTTTTGAAAAATGTCAGCTCTGGCTTTAACTGTGTCCATCTATCTTCTCGCCAGTCTCCCTGAAAAATGTTCATGAGGCTTGTTATTTTCCATAGTCTGAACTTCCCCTGTGTTTTAGGTTGGCTTTTGATGGATGGTAGCCAAGATCTCCGTGGTTGCTAGTCCCCACGGAGTGGAGTGCAGGTGTCCATGTGAGCCCTGTAGGCCAGAGTGTCAGAGCAGCACAAACTTTCTTGTGGGTAACTGCAGAGATACTTTTTTTCTGGAGCTCACTGAACGAAACTGTCTCAACTTTTAGTCAGGCTTTCCCTGCCCCAGTTTGTCCACATCCAGCAAATTTGTTGTCCGTACTACCATGTGAGCTGTCATTGGCCCCAACACTATTTTGTTTTCTTCTTTTACTTCTGAAAGTAGGCTCTTGTGGGCTTGAAAGCCTTCTGGGAGCCACCTTTGTTAATTTCTTTGTAAAGATTTTTGGAGCACAGTCAAAGGATTCAGAAGTAAGGGCAGTTGAAAGGAAGTGTAGGAGCACTATGCTTACCAACTCTAACTGTGGAATCAGTGATATTTGAACCACATGATGTTTAGAATGGCTTTTTTATTTTCTTTACTCTTTGCTTTGTTTCAGAACTGAAGCAAAATCTTCCCTGTACTTGCATTTATTGGACAGGAAGCTGATTTAAGGAGAGAAACAGAAAGGTCTTTATTCCCTGTGGAAGGAGAAGCAAGATTTATATGCTTTGAAAAGGTATGTGTTAGAAGGTTTACTTGATTAAAAATTCCAGTAGTCATCATTGCTCATTTGCATTAAGGTACTGTTTCTCAAGAACTGTCACTTCCTGCTGTTCACCACGGAAATTTTCTGTAGCTTTCTCTTTTCAAGGGGAAAGCTAACCTGTCCTTGTTCCAAATGTTCAGCCTTTGAAAATAACATCCCCTTAATCATTAGACTGTGTGTCTAAAGAAACACATAGTAGCTGTGCAACTGCAGTTACAGTACTGTAAAGCAAATTCTGTCTCTTCATCAGCATTCAACAGCAGCAAACTTGATTAGGCTCTGTAATCCATAGTGCAGGTACTACAAAACAGGAGATACAGGACAGTATACAATAAAGGCTGAGTAGCAAATTCAGCAGTAAAAATTACAGTGCAGCTATTCTTGCTGTGTTTTTTTTCTTCTTTTGATTTGTATATTTTCATGTTCACAGATCTCCCGTAGTTTGCCACCACTTAATACTAACAACTCATCTGCTTGAGGAGATTCTGTTGTAATGTATCCAGTGGCTGTTCCTGCACCAGGAGGTGAAGGAAATAATGGACAACATGGGAAACTTATTTTTTTCCTTTTTGTTTTTGGAGCTGTGTTGCTCTGTGCTGGATTCCTGCTTTCAGTGTTTATTCTCCAGTCATGTCCATCTGGAACCTTCAGTGACTGTAACGAGGTCCTTAAGGCTGCTGGGCCAGTTCTGGCTGTAGCTGGACTGGGGTGTGTTTTACTGGCACGGTCAAGAGCCAGGATGTACATAAGACAAAGACAATTGCAAAATGAGCAGGTGTACAGCCTTGTTTTTTGTCGTGGGAGCTGCCAGTTTGCCCAGTTTCTCATATTTGGATTTCTGTTTTTAACTAGTGGAATGCTAATCAGCATCCTGGGCATTTGGGTTCCTGGTTGCAGCCCTGGCTGGCATACCATACAGCTCAACCACACCAGCAGTTCTGACGTGGACCTCCAGGGCTGTGGATTCCTGTCACTTCAGATAATGGGACCTTTGATTGTGCTCACTGGGTTGTGTTTCTTTGTGATAGCTCATGTTAAAAAGAAACAAAACTTAAATCTCAGCCAAGAATCTTGTGAAATTGAAGAACATCCTCAGAGCCCTGACTCTTTTCAGGTTACAGTAGGTGAGTAAATTATTTTGGATCTTTACGTTTGAGAGTTAGTAGGAAGGGTTTTTTCTGCAATTTATTTACCTCTGAGTGTTACCTATTTGAGTCCTAAGCATGTCAGTTCAGGCTAGCCAAAACAGAAATGTTGCTTTGTCTCATATGTTTTCTATATGGTCTGTTGACTTGCCTGTCTCACAAAGGCAAAACCTCTCCTTTGGCATAAAAAGAATGGTCAGATTGTAGAAGAAGCCACATAATCTGACACAAATGAGTCCAATTCAACTTCCTCTTTCAAAGAGTGTAGCTGACACTGCAGGTCACAGGTCTAATGACTTCTATGACAGCATTTGAGATTTACTTTAGCCTTGAGCTCTGACTCCTTAAGCAGATGATTCATAACCAGTGTATTGTATTTTTTTAATCATGGTCATGTCTTCCATCAGGCAGAAATGTCATTGCAAGATGTCATTTGCATAGTATTTGGTAAAATGTGTTTTAACAGGGAATGCTACCCTACATATTGCATTGGTTTTAATGCCTGGTGTATAAATTCTATGCATAGGTTGTTCTGATAACTCTCTCAGAAAGGGTTAATGAATCAGTCATGATATTGCTGGTCATCTGACTGACTAGGCTTGAAATTCATTGTGAAATTCAAGCCAATGTGTAACCTGGTGTCCCTCAGGAAACAGGAAGGTTTGAAGCCAGTTTTCTAGCCGCCAGGATAAGTCAAAGAGTTGTAGAAAGGAATTCAGATTGTCTTCAAAGGCAAGAAAGCAAAATTGTTCTTCAGTCAGGAAAAGTAAAACTGAAAGGCTGAAGGCTGAGGTCTGGTTGGCATTGTAATGTTGTGGGACAGTGGTGACTTAGCTAGAAAACAGCCCTCACCTCCCTCAACAGTTTTAATGCTCCCTGAACTGTCCCTGCACACACATTACAAAGGAACAGAAAGTGCCAGGTAGCTATGAATGTTAATATAAGATATGCCAGCTCAGTGATTTATACAGAATTTCTGGTTAAAAAAAAGTTTTAAACTCCTCTATTACAAAGTTGAAATTGGCAGATATACTGCACAATGTACTTAATAGTGAATAATGCATCAATAGTCATGATTAGTGTGCCTTGAGCTAAAAGTAATTTAGTAGAGAAACAGTCAAGGCACACAAAGTCATTATCAGAACCCCATGGAGAAACTTAGACTGACCTATTTGGCCAATGTGAGCAAAACAAAATACTTGCCTACCCTTAAAGTGAGCCAGCACTGTGTGCTTTTTACTTCAGTTTCTGAAGACAGACAAGTGTTTGTCTCTTAGCTAGATGGAACACTTCCCCTTCTGAGCTGTGTTTTCTAAGTGAAACCTTTCATTTATGAATATGCTGAGTCTTTCTTTTGGGATTATTTTGATTTTGAATGTACCTCCAATGTACTCTAACAGCCCAGAATAGAACAATTCTGTATGTGGTGGTATTGCACTTCATCTTAAAAGGTAGGCCAGTACAAATTCTGTCCTTCCAAAGGCAGGAAATACTCTAGGATACTGTTAGAATAAAGAGTGGTGCTCAGGTTTTTTTGACGGTAGTAATCATGGGATTATTTTTTTTCCCTAGGTGATGCTGTAATGGTATTCCCACCCCCACCCCCTCCTTATTTTGCTGACCCTATGTCACCAATTGTGACACATTGTCTTATGTCAAGTGTTTTGCCTACAAGCGAAAGTCCTCCACCGTACCACTCTATCTTCAGTGGCAGG